CCTTTCTTCTTGTATGTAGGCTTCAGAGCCTGTTGCTTTTTCAATATTAGCCTCCGAAATTGTTTAAATTATTGCACCATCTTTTTCTTGGTCTGCCAGGTCTACCACTCAATCTTCTGCCATTCTACTCATGTGTTCGTTCCACTGCTGTTTCTGTTTTGTCACCCATCCATTTATGTCTTATATATTGCAGGCTCTTCTTATGTTTTCGCTTCTCTCCCTATCCAACAGACCTTTCCCTGATATTCTTCGAAGTATTTTTATCTCTGTTGATTCCAATAGTCGTCTCGTTATAGATGTGTTAGGTCTTGTCTTCGCCGTGTATGTTAATATAGGTGTAATTGCTGCTTTGTATTCTTGTTTTTGTATCTTATCTTATGTGTTTGTTCTTCTAGATTGTGTCATTAAGAGATCCGGCCGCTTTACTTGCTTTTAAGCTGTGTTGTCTTACTTCTTCTTCAACATCTCCGTAACTAGTTATATCTATTCGCAGATATTTAAATCTTGCCGCCTGCTTTATTATTTTCTTATAAATTTCGATTTACATCGTAACAGATATTTAGATGTTGTCACACATTTGTTTTTTCTGCTGATATTTTCATAGTATTCTTGGCTGTTGTATTAAAGATGTGTGTTAATATTTGGAGCCTGTCTTATGTCTCGGGGATTAATGTGGCGTCGTCTGCCTAACATAATATTTAAATTACTTTACTTCCCATTCTGCAATCATGACCTTTACGTACTGCTTGTATTATTTTGTCCATTATTATATTAAAGAGATTAAAGAGATGTGGGCTACCAGTACAAAGCGGAGTCACACTGTCTGACTCCGCTTTGTACTGGTATACACTGCGTTAGTTTTCCATTTATCTTTCCCTGTATTCGATTATGGAAGTAGATGTTTTCGATGGTTTGTATAATATTAATTATGTTTCTTTTATATAGTAGGTGTAAGACGTCTTCGACTTGGATGCAATCGAAAGCCTTTGTCAGGTCTATAAAGCATATATATGCTGGTTTATTTTACTCGATGTCAGTTTTAAAAACCCAAAAAAGATGCAAAAAGGTGTGCCGCTTTTACCCCCGGGCTTCCCCCTAAGAGCCCCTGAAGTTAACTTTATAAGCGAGAAAGTGCAGAAAGCATATATATATATATATAATATATATATATATATATATATATATGTATATATATATGTATGTATATATATATATATATATATATATATATATATATATATATATAAAATGGACATACGTTTCAAGTAAAATTTTCTTCAAAATCGATAGGTATCAACGCTTTTAATGAATATTGCGACCGAGACACAATAATGCATTCAGCGATATTCGAATTATTATATTCAATTTTACAAATGTTCACTGTAATATCCAAAATCATTACATATAATTGACCGTCAATAATCAAGTTACCATTATGATAATTTCGTTTAAAATATTAATGTTATTCAAACCTAGTGGCGGATTAAGCTAAATGAGGAAATAGTAACATTAAATTTATTTATAAACAATATTTTTAATGTAAATTATTATAGGACCAGGCAAAGTTGGTCAAAAGTAAAAAACGTAAACAACAACATTTGCTTATGGTTTTTACAACCCGAAGAATAAAATAAGACACAGAAGGAAACGATGGTGGTAATCATAATAAGAAAGTAGATTTACACCAAATGTTAATGGATGTTACTTCTTCTTCTTTAAGTTCCATCTTCTATCGAAGGTTGGAAATCATCATGGCTATGCGGACTCTGTTGACTGCCGCTCTAAAAAGTTCTGCACTACTGCATTCAGACCATTTCCTTAAGTTCTTAAGCCAGGATATTTTTCGTCTTCCCACATTTCGCTTTCCTCGGATTTTGCCCTGCATAATAAGTTGTAATAATGCGTATTTTTGCCCTCTCATCACATGTCCCAAGTACTCAAGTTTTCGTCTTTTAATAGTTAATATTATTTCCGCCTCATTTCCTATCCTTCTAGTTACTTCCATGTTTGACATTCTTTGAATCCATGATATTCGTAGGATTCTTCTGTAACACCAAAATTCAAAGGCGGCCAGCTTATTCAGATGAACTTGTTTGAGTGTCCAAGCTTCCAGACCATAAAGAAGAGTAGAGAACACGTAACATCGAAGCATTCTCAGGCGTAGTTCTAACCTTATATCCCGACAACAAAGAAACTTTTTAAGTTTAATAAATGATCTACGTGCTATTTCAATACGTGTTTTAATTTCTTTGGTTTGGTCTACATCTGATGTTATCCATGTTCCTAAATATTTATAGTTATTAACATTCTCAATTGCAGTGTTACAATGGATGTTACACTAGCCTATAATAGCGAAGTCAAAAAAATCCTCAAAATAAATATTTCAATAATCGATAATTTAATCGACAATTTCGATAATCTGACAAACTAAACATAATCGAATCATAAATAAAGTAAGAGTTAAAAAATAAAACCAGAAACCGGGATAAATAACCTAGATTATAACAACTTGAACAATAACAAATTGAATAGTAAGAATCAGACAAATAATCTTACTCAGAATTGTAGGTATATGTAAGGCAGGCCGGAGCTTTTATTTTACTTTGATTTTGATTTTGATTTTTGATTTGATAGCATCAAAATTTATTATTCAATATTAAGAGTTTAAAGACAATGGTTTTCTTTAGCGTGATACACTGTGCGGCAACTGAAATAATAAAAAAGTAAGAATTAAAAAAATACCAAATGGGAGAAAAACAACTTGAAAATCTTATATGCAGACGACGAAGTACTACTCTCTCAAAGTGAAGATGATTTACAACAGCAAATTTACTAATATGTAAATTGAAGCTGGAAGGTCAGATAATAGAACAAATGATGGAGTTTAAATATCTAGACATCACATTATCTAGCTACAGAAAGCTCGAAGCAGAAGTGAAAGATCAAGTAAATATAAAAAGCACAGCAGCAGGTTGCCTGAATGAAACAGTTTGTAGAAATAAAAATATCGAGAACGAAATTAAAGGCAGAATTTACAAAACAGTCATCAGATCATATGAAAGTCGCAGTTCTAGTTGATATATTTTCTGATTTTACCAGCTTTACAGCTCTAAGCATAATGTGCGGTGGAGTTATACTTCGCTCAGTTTTTCTTTTGTATACTCTTATATTTCCACAATAAAGTATACAAAATATAAATTAGTTAAGCTAATGTAAAACATAAAATACGAACTATTGCGGTGACAAGCCCCCTCGTATTTTTAAAATTGTTTCAAATTTTTAGGCTAAAGTGTAGATAAACTAACATTGTTGCCAAATATAAAATTTAAAAGAAAAAGCTACTGCGACAACAAGCCCCTGTCTAACCTATAATTCTACAAATATCCAAATAGAAACAGAATAAAAGGTCACAAAATAAATGAGAAACTATAAATGAAAATGATAGAGGAAGAAAATAATAAATAGAAAATACAGAAAATATAATTGGCCAGTTTATCACAAACTATACCTTTTTTTAAGATAAATCTCTAGATGTTGTAGATAATAATACCATTATCGTTTACTTCCGATGTAATTAGTAATCATTTAAAATCAATTAATTAAAAAATATAAATAAATAATATATTATAAAGAAAGATACCCATACAGTCCATTTCATAAAAACAGCAAAAAATATGTTCTAGTATCTATAACTGCAAAAGTACAAACCCTATTACATAGTGCATATTGCCAATGCTAAACAAATTTAGAGTCCAGTCCTGAGTATCATGTATAAAGCCAATTTTCCTTGATTTCATTCCTATCCGACGTCCAATAAAATGACAAATCGCTTTTTCTGTGTGCAAGCTTACTAATCACTGCTTTACTAGCATGCCTAATGTACTGTAATGTAAAGTTGGCGAGGGGATGTCCACAAAATCATAAAATCGATTTAGGCCCGTCTCATAAACACGTTTTATAATTGAAAGAAAATAATATATAAGGTCAAAATATCAGATAATAAATATATAGATTAATTTGTAAATTATTAAAATTGTTTCATTATACGAAAATATAAAAAACATATTGATCAAATTAAAACTGCTTTATATTTGCCATTAGGACTCTACAATATTTTCAGACATTTTATAAATGCCTGCTAATTTTTTAATTCTACCTCTTAATGTGAATGACATAACTTTTATTTTGTTGTAATTATTATTTAAAAAAACAATTCAGTATATTTGTATTCTTTTTTTTTTCATTATCATCTTTTATTTTTCTTTTTAGACTTAGACATGTTCCTTTTATTTTGCTATATCATCTTTTCCGAAGCTTATTTTCAATATTTACGACTGACCAAGCATTATAATCTATCTCAAACTAGTTACTATTCTTTCTGCATCCAATTTATAGATGTGGTCCTACAGTTGGCGATGCGATGTCTAATCGTATTTATCTCACCACATTCTGTATTTGCTATTGTCTCAACATATCTTCGTTCTGGATCCTGTTACTAAGTCAATTTCCTCTAATAGTTCCTAGAATCTTTATTTTGGGTTTTGTCCGTCAGTAACGTGTGTACGTGGTTTATCTAGCCAAATTTTCTGATTGTTTACTATTCTTCCTCTTTATTTAATATATAAAGTATCTCGTTATCCCATTGACTATTTTTATTTCATCACAATGAGGTACCTAGTATCCTTATCTAAACTATAAATTCTCAGTTAGCACTTAGTTAAACTGTAAATTACCTTTTTTAAATTTGAGTACCCATGTAAAAAGTCAGTTATTTAATTAAAGAGCACCATAAGAGCTAGTCTAAGTTCACTTCAGTTCAAAAATATTTGCGTCTCCTCTAAATTGTTCCGAAATAATATATCCGTAATAAATTTGCAAACTACATTAAATTAAATTACGTAATATTGATGACCAAATATATTATTAGCTTTTTGACGGGTCTATTACTTTTATAGGCATTAAAAATTATCTAACATATGTTTCTGTTTTTGTTCCCCTAGAGGGTAGAGAGTGCGTCAACTGCGGGGCGACAAGTACTCCACTGTGGAGAAGGGACGGCACTGGTCATTATCTATGCAATGCATGTGGACTTTATTACAAGATGAATGGACAAAACAGGCCACTCATCAAACCCAAAAGAAGACTGGTAAGTAATGTTGACTTAATTTCAAACCTTTTACAAGTTAGCACAAGGAACTATTTTGTAGACTATATGCAGACTGTATAGAGCTATAGTTGCGACTACTTTAAAACACATATATTGTAATATGTTCTTAGTAGTCGTCAGTGATAATAGGTAGCTAGATTATGTAGCTTTCTATGTCGAAATTCGATTAACAACATAGAAACATGCCGAAAATTTGGATGATGTCACAAAAATATTATTAGTAATTGTTACTAATCTATGAAATTGTCACTGGAAAATTAAATCTGTAGTACCTGCTATTGATAACTATCTAATACATATTTCAAGTGTTTAATTGAACGATAAGATCATTTACATTCAATACAGATCAACTTAAAAATTTATATTTTATATTACCGATGTTTGGTTTTAAAAATATTTTTTATTATTTACGCATATATAAATTCCAGTCAATGTCATTAACTAAAAGTAGATTTAAAATGCATATTAAGGAAATTAACCAATACCGAAGCTTCTGCCTGATAATAAGAAAATGTAACTAAAAGTTAAGCTAGGAACAGTTTTATAATACAAAAAATTTTTAAAAATCTTTTATTTAAAGAAATCTTAGCTTGTCTAGCTAGATAAAGAAAAGGATTAATGAGTTTTAAAAATGGAAATTACCATCATAATACTCCTATTAAGTAAATCGTTCTGCTTGTGTAATACTCTTCCATTCCTAGGGGAAAGATTGTTATACTTCCACAGGGGAGTTATGAAAACAATTTATCCAAATACTTATTTTAAACAAACTGTAATATTCCTTCCATTTTGTTCTTTCAGTAATCTAATTGTTTATTTAAATTTTATTCCTAATATATTAAAACGGTTTTACGTATATATTTAGTGACTTAACACATGAAACATTTTTGCTTTAACTTTAGACAAAATTTAACCTTCACGTGTGCTTTAATTATACTTATTTACTTATTTTCGGAATACTTATTTTCGGAAAAAGCACTGATGCTGGAAAAGTCATTCCATAAAGGAATAGGGTATATTCTGATTTCAATTTTAGTTTTAGATTAAATCATCATGTCTTATATAGCAAATATATTCAAATAATAGGTAACCTCTATAGCGACAACCAAATACAAGCTCTCTAGTTCTAATAAAATTGAATCGGTGTCGATACCTTATTAGAGAAATCAAAATAAATACAATAAATGCATACAGAGTCAGTAGAGGCCAGGAAATATGTACCAAAAATACAGGTCAGTTGAAAGAAGGTCAGAATTTTTAAAACCTGTAATATTCTTTTATATGAATCTGAACCTTCTTTTTCTTTCTCTCGATAAACAATTATGCTTGTTCATTATTATTGATTGGTGTTTTTGACTCCAACTTCTCGCCATTACTTTTTCTACAGTTTGTATGTGCCGATTTTTAATTGTTATGTTGTTATTAAGGTGTCTCCCCAATCTATGGTTATATTCTACTTTCTATACTACTACTATATGGATCTTTATGTATTAATAGCAGAAGACTGTACTGTTATCAACGAAAATAATGATTGCTCTGAAGAAATCAGAACCAGAATAGAGAAAGCTAGAGCCACATTTACTAAACTGAAAAAGGTGTTCTGCGGAAGAGATCTAAGTCTAAAACTTAAAATTCGCCTTTTGAGATGTTACGTTATGTCAGTTCTCCTCTACGGGATGGAAACATGGACATTGAAAAAGATCGATACCAAAAAGATAGAAGCATTTGAGTTGTGGATTTATCGTAGAATATTAAGAATACCCTGGACAGAGAAAGTAACAAATGTGGAGGTTTTGCGGAGAGTGCGGAAAGAGAAAGAGCTGATACTTACTGTTAAAAAGCGCAAACTACAATATTTGGGACATGTTATGAGGGGAGATAAATACCAGTTGCTGCAATTGATTATACAGGGAAAGATAATGGGAAAGAGATCTATAGGAAGAAGAAGGCATTCATGGTTGAAAAACTTGAGAGAATGGTACAATTGCACCAATTACCAACTGTTTAGATCTGCAGCATCAAAAATACGCATAGCTTTGATGATAGCCAAACTTCGGAACGAAGACGGCACTTGAAGAAGAAGAAGTACCCCTTTACTCCATTACTTACTGAATGCTGATGCCATCGATTTCCAATGTACAGGCAGTTGGTTCTTTACTAATTACAGTTGTTTAGGTTTTTTTTTTAATTGAAATTGTCATATTTAGCCCTTGGACTAGTATTTATTCTGAGACTAGCCTCTAAATTTTGGACCACCCACTGGGCAACGTTCATAACCAGCGTTATTTTCTGGCTGATATACACCGCTCGTACTGCAAAAATTGACTTATTGTATGTCTTTATTTATTCGTGATATCCATTCCAGACTTCTTGATTCTGTGCCAGCTATAAAGGTATATTGGATAGGTACCATATGTTTTGCAGTCACTTGGTGGTCTCCAAAATTACTTGCTGCATACTTTAGAGTGCTTTGCAGTCTTGTAAAATATAAATAACGCATTGTGTGCCGGTATCCATTCCATTGATTATTGTATGCTCAGTGAGTCAGCCTTTTCTTACGCAATGTAGGACTGCATAAATAACTGCCTAGAAATCAGAGGTATATTCTTCTAGTGGAATAGAAATGCTGGCATTCCCAGTTTTTAAACACGTCTGTGTACCAGGTGTGACTCTGCAGCCTGGCTTGTGTGTTTTCTTTGTCTTATCCTTCTCGTTGGCGAATGTCTACTTGGAAACGTACTTAAGGCATATATTTTTATGCCATATACTCCGAAGTCATCATCAATGTAGTATCACTAATTTTATTTATAATGTTGCTATGCCCTAATCTACCATTACGTTAGTCTGGTTTTGTCGCAGTCGATATCCTATTCCCATTTATAACAATATATGTCCCCTGTCCCCCAATTCCAAGACAAGAAAGTCTTTGCGCTTTGCTTAATTTGAGGATGGAATATTTTTATCGCACCTTTAGCGATCATATCACTGATCTATAAGGTTGTGTTGTTTTTTTTTTACCATGTGATAAATTCAATAAAACATTTTTATGGTTGTAAACCTCATATTTTCAGATGAATACGTCTGTCTACTATTAAAGTAGTCACCGCCCTCTTGGTTATTCGTTCTATCTGCTGATTACAAATAAGCCTCGAATCTAATGTATCCCAAGTATATAAAGTCTAGTATTATTCCAGGCTAGTTTACTTTACTTACCAGATTTATATTTTTACTATTCAAATTTAGAGGAACTAATCCTGGTAAATTTCCTCAGCCGTGCATTTGAGATTTATTCGGTGACTACATTCAGAGTCTGTTGTATTTGATCTCTGACTGTGCCAATAAATTTCCCAAGGGTTAAGATGACTAGGCTAACCGCATAGTCTAAGATATGTTATCTGTCGTTGTTTGGTCTAGCTATTAACCCAATTTTGACCAGATTCCACGTTTGCCTTATGTCGAATTCTGCATCTGTACAGATCATTCTGTATAAAAACCTTGTTGCTTGTCTACTTTAAGTAAGTCTGTTATAAGTCATTTCAGGCCGTCGGTGAACGGCCGTAGCTCATCGGTAAGATACTAGTCTTCTAAACCAGAGTGCACGAATTCGAATTTTGGCACCAACAACGACATTTTCATTTCTCAAAATGATATGAGCCATTCGCAGTATTTCGGAAGGCACGTAAAACTCCCTGGACTACTGTGCATCGACACTAGCTACTTGAAACAGTGTTAAATATTCAATTGTCGACGGAACCTGTCCGAAAGAATCTTCCTCTCAAAACTACCATACAACATTATTATTATTATTACCATTTCAGAGTGTTGAGTTGACACCTTTGTAGTTTTCTAGTGGTTGTTTATTGCCTCTATTAAATAGTAGAATTTGTTTATTTGTCTTTCATTCTTCCGTAATTTTATTGTATTTTATGATTTTGTTATATAATTAAAATAACCAAATACGGTGTCGCATAATAAAATAAACAATTGCACGTAAAATATGTGACTATAAAATGAATAAAATTCTGCAAATAATAAGATCCCGTTGATAGAATAAATTCCCATTAAATTGCAAACTGAAATGTACTATTTGCTTAAAAATAGCCATGGCTAACCATAATCACATAGTGAGCTAAAACAAGAGTTTCATATTGGGGACCACTAACAGAAATCAATTCTTATGTTTAACCACTATCATTAGGTCACTCCTCGTTGTATTTTAAAAGTATTTTAAATTAGCAAAAAACAGCAATGTTACGTACATACGTAAATGCATATCTGAATAGAATTAAATGAAATATATGAAATGCATATTCTGGGTGGACATAGTACATTTATATCTTCATACCTTCATCGATTATTCAGAAAAATCACATACGTCACCGAAACAGACAGCTACCCGCCCAAAATATGATTAAAAGTGGGGTATTTCCAGCCCCTAGCTTACCATATTTCACGACAGGTGTCGTATGTTATGCAAATACCCTATCTACTGGCTCATTATCAGGTTAAATATTAAAATCTTAAGTAGCACCTTTCACAGCGGAGTTATTGATGAAGGGGGCCGGTAAAAGAACCCTGAGGCGTCTTCAAAATCGCGTAAATCTGTCGGCAGTATATCTGCTAAGATAATTTAGCTTTAAATGCGTTTGAAGACGGCAATCGACACCTTAGAGCGACTGTTATTACCGGGCTCTTACGCTGTAACTGAAATGCCTACTCTGTGCACATCGACAGTTAATTTGGTGTGAAAAATTACAGAAAATCGTGCCTATAATGGCTCGAAGTAGGTCATTATGGTGGCCTTATGCTCAGGTGGGGTTCAATGGGTTCTTGATTTGATTACTATGCCTGATTGAGTTTGTTTCAGTTATGCAATATCATTTTCCGAATGTTAGGAAGTTGTAATCTAGACTGGTGGTCGGTCACACTTGATTAATTCTGAGAAAAATACGATTTTGCTCCAGTTAATTCAGTTTGCA